ATGTATTTATCCATTTATTTTTCAGGTGAGCGGACAGATGTTGGGTGTGTGGTCCTGTGTTTTGTTGGTGTATATTTAATATACAGTACTTCTAATCGCTATTTCAATCTTTCTATCTTTCTAATTACTTCTCTCTGTTTTTCTCTCTCTCTATTTTCTCAGAAACTAAAAATACCGATATGAGCAAAATGACGTCAGTTATTGACATAAATGTAATGCAATATGACATGGGCTCACATACGCGCTGGATAGTGGGAGTGTGTCACACACAAAATATGCCATCACATGGCGTTCATTGCTGCTAATTGCAAAATGGCTCATTTTAATTGTTGACAGTTTTTCTGGCCACAATATAATTTTACCTAAGTAAACACAAAATTGTGTCCACACAGGCTGAAATAAACATAGAAAGTAAATAATAAAAATATTCAGATAGCACGTTTGTAAAAATATGGAAATATTAAAAATATATATATATAAGTAATTTGATTAGATTTTTTTAAATGAGGTCTTACTTTTCATTCTGCTCCTCAGCGAGGGCCATTATGACACTAAAACTCTGTTGAACCCATTCGACTCAATGAAAGACCTGTAAAACAAAAGCAAACACTGGTAAACATATGCACAGTAGGTTTACTTTATTCAACTAATACTTTAAAAAGTTGCAGTGATGGAGATTTGTTCATTAGATGTAAGCAGAAACATTATTTACTATCATTTCCTAGGGTTTTACACAAAAGATCAATAAAAGTCTTGACTAATCAATTAGTGTATTAAACAGAAATTTTATTTTTTTATTTACCATCAAATTCTCACGTAGTCTAAATTAAATTTTGATAACTCAAAATAGCTTTTTATATATTTAAAACTGATTTTTTTTTATCATCACATATCTAGATGTCCTTGCTTGATAAAGGATGGTCGCATTGTTCTCATTCCTTAGCAAACCATGGTACACAATTTTTTTTTACAATTATACTTGCTCTGTCTGTAGAAAGCCCACCTCTGACCCTTCTAAACAAACACTCTGTAACAACAGAAAATTGAAGTAGTGACACTATTTTTATCTCAAACAAAATTATGTCAAGAAATCGATTGTTTCGTTTGTCAAAAGCTCAAAAGTTCTAGTTGGGACTCGCTTTACGAACTCTTAGCTATAGCTAACAACTCAAGTTAGCTCCGGTGTGTAATTTATTTTAAGTTTATGATCAGACATGTTAAGCCATAAGACAAAAGTCACACTGGGAGTGAAGTTCGTATAAGCGCCTGTAATTTGATAATGTTAAACCACTACTGACCTGGAAAAATATGGAACGTTCTGACTGCTAAACACGACTTGATGACTTGTGTTTTTGATCAAACAACTCGGCTCCGCCTCTGAAAACACACACCGGAATTGACCTTTATACAGTTGCAATGCGCATGCGTAAAATGGGGTCATTACAATTTCCGGTTTTGTTTTGTTGCACACAAATGTATTTATAAATTAGTCAGTATTACGTTGTGATATCGATGTGCGATGTTTCTGGTGTCGAGATGACTGCACGGCACAGCTAAAACACATATTTATAAAATGAATAAATATAGCTGCTTTTGATTGGTAAAAACACAGTGACGTAAAATGTTGCATTCAATGTACAGAAAATGCGTAAGAGATTTGAGTTGTAGCAGTATTTTCCACGTTAAATAGACCTATTTGCTTTAATAGTAGCATTCTTAAATATTGATGTACTTGAAGACGGGGATAAAAAGCACAACACAACTGAATCCTAAGCCAGTAGCAGTAAATTCAGTAGCAGTAAACAGAAGCTAAGGTGCTTCCTTTGGTGCATTGATTCCTGAAAGCCGCTGCGATTTGTTGGCAAACTCGCGCATGGCCACTGTATTACATATTATGATTGGTTATGCTACCTGTCAGTGAAAAAGCCTCCTATCTCATTGGCTAATCTTTCTGTCAATCAAATAAACGTTGTGGTATTTGCCTGGCGGGAAGGCGGTGCCAAACTGAGCGGTAGCGGACAGCCACAGCTCCGGCGGGCAGCGTCGACACGGCAGAGTGTTCGGTGACAGGGCGTTATTTTTTTTTACATGATTAAAACACTAAACGAAGTGGGAGACTCACGCACGTCAAAGGAAACATATTTAAGACTCTCTGTCCGTGATGGAATCCTATGACATTTTAGCTAACCAGCCGGTTGTGATTGATAATGTAAGTATGATGATGTCATTCATCCACACCCAAACCGAGGCCGCTAGCTGCTACCTATTAGCTTCGCTAGCTATTGTGTTAAGACTGACAACAAACACGAAAAAGTCTGGGTAAAATGCATTACTCGTACAGCGATTACACGCACGCCTGGCTTTTCATCTTCCCTTAAAATATAACCAGAATATAACTCAGCGTTTGTACTAAACATAGCGATTCCTGCAAGCCCGTGCGATAGCTAATGGCAAGCTGAAAATCGGCCGGTCTCTGAAATGTTAGCTGTCTGCAGCTGTATCATTTCAGAACCTCTCCCGACTTTCTGTCCAGCCAAAAGAGAGAAGTATTCAATTTGTAAAAAAGAGAATAACTCAACTGTCAGTTTGTTTCACTTGAATTCCAGCTACAGCTCTCTGCACCACCTTGTGTTTACATTAGACCAGTTAGAAATGCAGAAGTTACATACATCAGCAAGTGAATTATAATGTCAAGCCATTGTAATTCTGTATCACTGCTTTATTTTAGTTGGTCTGCGGTAAATAAATTATTAAGAAAAACATTTTAGGAAGAAGAAAAGTGATTGCAAATAATCAGTTTATAAATTTAAAAAAAGTGCATTCACTGAAAATCACCGTAACTGGGGCTTTCACACAATAATACTGATTATCTTATCAAATACTAAACATGCTGAGGTGATTTATTAGATTATGTATTCTAGTCACAGCAAAACAAGTCAGAATTTAATTTAACCAAAGTTTTTTATTTTAAGCTGACTTTTGAGAACATTGCTTTTATTTAAAACCCAACGAGTCTTTAATTGTGCTTAAATCTGCATTGGACAATTGAAAGGAAATGATTCACAGGACGTTTTGTGTCATTTGTACACACAAATCATTATTGTCATTGCCAAACAAACAGTTGCATATCCAGAATACTTTTATACCCCAGTTTGTTGTGATATTTTAATTCTCAAAGTCAAACATATTGATGTTTATGTTCTTCCCATTAAATCTTATATGTACAAAAAGTTGTTTGCCGACCAAGAACACTTCTTTTAGATATTGTAATAACTGCGAGTTTGGAGGATTTTTTTCATTCTCAGACATTGTTAACCTGCATTGCAAGTAAAGAACTGGGCCAATTTTAGTCCACAGTTATACCACCTACTTGATAAAATGACGTTCAGAAACATTTTAGTTTGGAATTGATTTGTTGTTTGTTTTAACTAGAAATGTGGCATTTTGCAACTTGAACTAAAATAAACACAAACAAGGGTAAAAGTGTTGTTTTATAGACTCGTGTGACTGCTGGTGGCCTCAGGCTGAGTCTCATGATGGCTGCCTCTCTGAAGCTGAATGCACTTGAATGCATCTCTCCATTTAACTTCGATGTGGAGCTCAACTCTCGTTTGTTCTCTCTGCAGGGTTCAGGAGTCATCAAGGCTGGTTTTGCTGGTGACCAGATCCCTAAATACTGCTTTCCTAACTAGTAAGTGTTCTTCAACCACTCCCTGCCAATCTCCTCTGCTCAGATGTTTTATGGGATCATTTTGCAAAGCTTAAGCTGAACATATAGTTTAAGGACATAGAAATGCCCTCTGTCCATCTGTCCGTGACGGGGGACATCAGCGACAGCTGGCGTCAAGTTCTATTTTGTTTTGTCTTTAATGTAAAATTAAAGACAAAATAATCAAGGACTTTGAGGTCTCTGTGCAGGTATTTATATTTGTGTGACTTTTTGTGTGCAGTGTTGGACGCCCCAAACATGTGCGTGTCATGGCTGGAGCCCTGGAGGGAGACCTCTTCATCGGACCTAAAGCAGAGGTACCTTTTATGCGTTAGGATAAATCATTTTGCCTAGTTCTGTTTGGTCTTCTCACATGAGCTGTTGGAATTTAAAAAATATTGAGCAGTCATATGTAGATTTACATTTAGTTTTTTACATTTTGTAGAAAGTAAAATGTTGCCTTTTCTATGTAGACGAGTGAATAAAAAGAAAACCAGTTTGTTCCCACATTATACCGTATTTTTCGGCCTATAAGCCGCACCCGCATTTAAAAAAAAAAAAAAAACGCGACCATTAACATATAAGCCGCACCCCCAACATAAAAAAACAGTACACCCAAACTTGCCGTCAAAAAAGTGAATTCAACATCAAAACATAAAAAGCAAACCTTTAGGAATTAAAGTTCGGA